GTTCAATGGAAACAGTAAAGATTTTGATAAATTAACCTTATACCCCGATATGTTGCTGAACTCCCGCAGCCAGCGGAAAAGGTGGGGCATACTCCCAATTGGGTCTGATATCTGCAAAAGGAGATCATCAGCATAAAGCAGAGTTTTATGAGTTACCTCACCCCTGGATATACCTTTAATCCTCTCATCAGATCTGATAGCAATTGCCAGCGGTTCGATCGCAATGTCAAACAGGAAGGGTGACAGGCAACAGCCCTGCCTCGTCCCCCTGTAGAGCGAAAAATATTCCGAAATCAGACCATTTGTCCTGACTGCAGCCATAGGCGTTGAATATAGGACTTTAATCCATCTACAAAAAGTAGGTCCCATGCCGAATTTCTCCAGAACTGTGAAAAGGTAGGACCATTCGATTCTATCAAACGCCTTTTCAGCGTCAAGGCTCAGAATAACTTCCGGTTGTATTGTCGAATGGGGGGAGAATACCACATTAAATAGTCGTCTCACATTAAAAAATGACTGCCGTCCGGGAATGAAGCCCGTTTGGTCCTCATTAATAATGGTGGAAATAACAGGGTCCAACCGTAGTGCAAGAGTTTTGGTTAAAATCTTATAGTCACAGCACAAAAGACTTATTGGCCTGTATGAGCTACACTGTACAGGATCTTTATCTTTCTTTAGTAAGACTGAGATCGTGGCCTGGGTAAGCGTCTGCGGCAGATTGCCAGTAGCAAAAGATTCAGCATAAACTGATTCTAAAATAGGTGTGAGCTTCGAAGAGAATTCCTTGTAAAACTCCATGGGGAAACCGTCCGGACCTGGCGCCCTTCCAGTCTGAGATAATTTAATAGCGTTCGTTATCTCTTCAATCGACAACGGCTGTTCCAAAGGCGACTGAGCGTCCGGAGAGAGCTTGGGAAGATCCAGCGAGTCAAGAAACGAGTAGATCTCGGATGAATTACTGCCCACCTCTGATTGATATAGGGTAGAGTAGAAATATTTGAACTGGTCATTAATGACTCGGGGGTCGTGAGATATCGAATCAGCACCTATTTCAATTCCCGAAATCACGCGTTCAGCTGACCGCTGTTTGAGCTGAAGTGCAAGGAGCCTCCCCGCTTTATCTCCATGCTCATAATATACCTGCCTGGATTTAAAAATATTTCTTTCGGCTCTCCATGTCATAAGCGTGTCAAATTCAGTTTGCAACAGTAATTTCTCCTTAAAAAGATCTGGCGTAGGTGAAAGAGCGTAACGCCTATCCATATCCGCAATCTTGTCAGCCAGTTCTTTAAGTTGTTTAGAGCGCTCCTTGTCTCTGTGTGCCACATAAGAAATAACTTGGCCCCTAATATAGGCTTTCATAGACTCCCACAAGACTCCCCTCGACACATCCTGAGTGTCATTAATTTCTAGAAAGAAGTCAATCTCTGTTGTGGGATTTCTAACAAGTAATATTTCAACCGTTTGTGACTGCAGTGATGTTGTGGTTGACATATTTACTTGGCAAGTGAAAGATTACTGGTTCAATTCCAGCCAGAATTCTTGTGTTTGTGTCACAAAGGACATCCAGCCTAAAACTCTGCCAAATCAAACATAACAAAGCTACCTGCTATGGCAAGAGAGCAGCTGCAAGTAGCCCAATATCTCCACAGGTACTGGATATAAAGTATTTGTATGAAGTTGCCACAGATATGGATACTTTTGAGAGGATTTTCAGTGAATTCCAGTGATTTTCAGTTTGCTGAGCATGCCAAAGTTAAAACACTCATCAAATATAGCCCTAAAATTTGATGTGGCTATTCTAAAAGAAGAATCATATTGTTTCAGCAGTCACTAGACTTCCCCTGAAGCATACTGGCACAAAATAACATCCTCTTCTCTCTCTGTTCATCTCTTCAGAACAGCATTTTTACAGACAAACTCTTTTTTTCTGGCAGTGTATTAACAAAGATCTCTCACTTTGTCTGCTCAGTATTTCTTGACAACTTTGTTAGCTAATGGACGCAAAGGTCTGGAGTGTGATGTTAATAAGAAGTTATGTGGATTGTTTGTATGATATTGCCTCACTGGCCTAGCTAGATGAGTCACTTCCTCCACGTACCAGTAAATGACTACAGAGCAAGACTGTACAGGTAACGCCCCTTTGTGCTCAGATTAATCTGTGCTTCCCATTGTACACGATAAGGGCAGTTCTAATCTTTCCTGGTATGATGACGGAATCAGTTCCGATAAGAAAAAAATATAATGAAAAGTAAGTGTTTTCCTAGAACTCACAGGTTTTTCCTTTAAGGAGCTTTAATGTACAGACAGTTTAGATCTATGTTTAACCAGCTGAAAGTGTGAACCAGTGCTTTTTTGCTGACTTGCAATTACCGTAGACTTGCACATCCAGACTGTCAGGAAAATTTTGTTTTTTTAAATACATGTTTGACTATTGAATTTTAAAAAATAGTCACAGTGAGGAAGAAACCCTGGTGATTAGAGTGCAAAAAGTTTAACGTGTTTATGAGCAGTTTGTGTAATGAGGGATGTTTCCTTTCTTTCACTAATTAAAAACACGAGGAGATACGTAGTTTCTCACATTACAAATGGCAAAATAAAAAGTAGGAAATGATAATGTTGAACTATTTCCCGATATAGATGCAGCTCAAAAAAGGTGATCTTAATTTGGGATTATTTAGCAGCCAGTTTGCAAATGGGTTGTTTATTCAACTGTACCGTATGTAAATGTAATCACAGAGTGACATTTATCAGATCTGTTGTTGCAGGCATTTGTAGTGACACACACTGATTAATCCCATCGCTTGTGAAGATGTGTGTTTCACCATGTTTATTTTATCATTTGTCATAATAGTCAAGGAAGCTTTAAAGTTCTTTCTGTGCCTGTAATCATGTGCTTCTTCACCTCCGAGGGGCATCAATCATTCATCAAAAGCAAATTGAAACCAGTTGTCTCACAGTAAACACAGTAAACAGTTAATTAAGCCCAGTGTGCCAATAAGGT